CATAGGAAGAGGCATTTCCCAGGTGCACAACGGCAGGTAAGCATGGGAAAAACGCTCGACACCATTGGCCGTTAGGGAGATGCAAACTGAAAACACAGGTGGGCATCTTCGTTCACCCATCAGACACCCAAGTAAAGAGGGACGCCCTAGTTGTTGGTGAGGACACAGAGACGCAGGGCTCACACTTGCCTGGGGCCATAAAAGCGTCCGGCCATCCTGGGAACAGTACGGCAGGCGTTCACAGAGCAGAGCTAGCGCTGCCACACCGCCCGTGGGTGTCTCCTCCAGGCCAGCGTGGTCCACGTCCACACAAAGACCGGCACAGGTGTCAGCGGCAGCTCTGTTGGCAACAGCTGAACCCACCCAGGGCGCCAGGCCCTTCCACAGGCAGACGGAAGATATAAAAGCAAGAGGCCTGGCCCTGCGAGCATCCGTCCACTATCCAGACACTTGCAACAGGCGAGGGAGCCACCCCGGGTTCTGTACAGCAGCACAGAGGGGGATTGCCGGAGCTGTCCATGGCTGGGCTGGCTCCGCAAGGCGGCAGGAGGCCCATGGCGAGCGTCCTCCCCATGCAGTACCTGCTTCCTCCAGTCTGCACTGTGCCACCACTGAAGCGGCTGGGGAAAAGGTTCACAGGGAGTCTGCCTTATTTTTTTAAATGCACATGGCCCTAACATTGCCTGAAAATAAGTGTTGTTATTTTTTTTGTACCGGGATTGAACTCAGGACCTTGCACTTACAAGGCAGGTGGCAGAAACTCTGAGCTAAATCCCCAGCCTATGGAAAGCATAGCCATATTGACCTGTGATTCACCCGAGCAGTGTGGATGTGCCGTCACCCATAGCAATGGGCTAGTTCAGCTGGTGATCTGATCTATTGCCTAGCAGATGTAACTCATAATATTTGTTATTACTTCCTTCTGGAATGTGTGGGTGGTACTTTCGCTCCCGTACAGCTGGAGAGTATAAAAGGAAAAGGTTCTGTAATAAAGCAAGCAAGTAACGAAAGAAGAAAAGTGTCTCCCGTCTCTCTGTCCTCGTCCTTTCAGGTTTAGGACCTGCTGGCAGGATCCTGACGTCGCGGTTCGCGACACCAGCCCTCCTTAAAATAACTTTTAATTTAAAAGATGTAAAGGTCCTGAAAGATACAGATTGATCCAGTCCCACTGGGGACCCGAGAACTGCGTGTAATGTGGAAACCTGTACAGACCTTAGGATCCAAGAGAGCTCACTTCCGGCTGTGCCATGTAATTCGGCGTGTGGTTCCTGTCATGGTCCTGTGCCTGTGCAGAGGGTCACCTGGGGGCCCAGAGGAAGGCGCTGTGCTCGGCACTCGCCTCCCATGCTTCAAGCTCTCTCTCTGCACAGTTGAGTGTCGTAGGTGACAATCACAGGAAGGCACCTCGGGCACTTTAGTCTTCAGAAATGCAAGATAAAGCCACAGCAAGATGTGCTGTACAGAGATTGCAAGAGTTAACATTTCATAGCATCCTCATACTGCAAAGGTACAATGGGATTTTTCTAGCTCTCTCGGGAAACCAGCAGTTTATTAGAGAGGTCCTCAGGGGAGAGGAGGTGCCAGGCTCAGTGCATGCATGTGCAGCATGGCAAGGGACACACCAATGGGCAGCCGTCCTGGGTCTGTTACCTGGGACCCAGGGGCTTTTCACTCAGACGCAGAAGCTCATCTCTACGTTGGGATTGGGCACAAGCCACCCCTCATGCAGCCTCAGCCCCACAAGTTCCCAGGATGGCCACTTGGGGGAGGCCAAGTTCTCTTATGACGCAAAAGAGTGCTGGGAAAAACCTGTCCACACATTATAGAAATAGGGGATGCATTTTCACCCAGGAGACTGGACCTGTCCCTCTTTCCTCTGTGCTCACTTTACAGACAACTTCAGGGGCTATGGATGGCAGGGAGACTCATCTCGCCTGTGGGACCAGGCACTTACAAGCTACCCTCCCTGGGCCACACTCCTGTCCAGTGGCACCTGTAGATGTACGCAGTTGCTTGATCGCCCCCTGCGTCTTCTCCACCCTGCTGCTTGGGTTCTGGTCTCCCTCCCTCGGGCCCTCTTTCTCCTCCCTACCAGTCTGGCCTTGGTGCAACTGGGGACCCAGAGGCCCGCGGCCAGGCCCTGCCTGGTCCCTCCTTCCACCCCCTGAATGGTCACGATCCTTGATCACTTGCCAGTGGGGACCTGGGACCACCAGGGTCGGCCCCTCCTGAACATGCATTTCGGAGTTCATCTGCGGAGCTGCTTTGCTCCCCGTGTCTGTGGGACTCTGGGGGTGTTATGATTTATATCTAGACATCCCCAAAGCTCCCATCTCTCTCTCTGCTTCCTGCTACCATGCCAGCAGCTTCTCCCCCACCATGCACTTCTGCCAACCATGGCCTGAAACCTCTACAAAATGAGCCAAGATAAACTTTTCTTCCTTACAGTTATGAGCGCTGGGTGTCGTGTCTCAGTGACAAGAGAGTAACTAAGGGTGGTAGAAACAGGATCTGGTGGCTGCTGTCCTAGTGCCTGCAAGGCCTTCTTCCCAGCCCAGGAGTTTGGCAGGGCAGGAGAGGCCTGGGCAGAGGCAGTGGGCACCTGTGGGGCATCTTGGCCCAGGCTGTGCCCTCTTCCAGAGCCAGGCACAGGCACCAGGGCCTTCTTTGACTTCCTCCAACCAGACAGCCCCAGGGTTCTGGCCCTGGCAGCCAGGGAACCTTGCAACAACCCCATCCTGCCTGTCGGGCCCCATCGCCAGCAGGTGACAGCTACATGTGGCCCTGGCCTGCAGAGCACTTCTGCCTTCACCATGGTCGCAGGACCCGGCTTCCTTACCCCTCCCAGCAGCAGTGACGGGGCAGCCTTGCAGCATGTCGCAGGAGGCTGCAGTGAGCGCCCAGGAGGGCTAAGTTCCGGAGCCATTGGCCGGTGCCCAGCATGTGCTCCATACCCACCCGGCAGAAGCTCAGATCTAGGAGGAGCTGGCTCTCTCAGAAGCTCCTCTGTGGTGCTCCGTCACTACTCAGGGCTGTCCCCAGTCCCTCCCAGCCTTCCTCCTGCTCTTGCTTGGCCAGTGGATGCTCCCTGCGGTGGGCGTCACCTAGGCCGTCTGTGGCACGAGGCTTTGGCTCCCCCACGTGACTGTGAGCACCCCCCTGGCATCCCATGAATCCCAAATTTCTTGTGCACTCAGGCAAACAGGTGCATACAGGTGTACACACGAGCACTGAAATGTGCCTGCACAAGTACACACATGTGCACACACATTCACGCATGTGCACTCGTGATGCACGCACACACCCGCCCCCACCTCCTGAGGGACAGGAAGCTGACAGCCAGGGGCACTGCCTAGCAGGAGCCCGGGTGTCATGGCACTGCTAGGCCCCCAGCTGTCCCTGGCCCTTCCCTCTTCCAAGTGAGAGAATGATTGCATAAGCTGGCGGCTGTGGGCAGCCCAGGCCTCCACCCTGCGCCTGTGCTGACACCTCTGTCCCTGGGAGCCCCAATCCTTTTAGTCTCGGTGGCTGAGCAGCTTCCTCCTGAGGCCCCAGGCTCCTGCTACCCAGATCTGCCTGGGCTGCACAGTTATGGGGGTGCGGCTGGCTCTCAGGGCATCTGTGTGTGGTGCTGGCCTCTCCAGGGCCCTCTCAGGATCCTAGACCTCAGGGCCCCTGGCATTGGAGGTGGCCTTGGCACACAGACTCAGCCACTCTCCATCGAGGGCAAAGCTTCCTCCATTGCTACCGACCGTAGGGCAGCTAACACGGGATTTCACGAGGAGATACAGGTTCTCTGAAAGGTGGGAGCAGGTTTGGCGATGACAGTCAGACAAAAGCACTCAACACCGAGGTGAAGTTTGCCAGTGCTGCTGCAATTTTATTTCTAATTCTAGGTGTTTATATACTAGTTTCAAGGGCACACCTCAAGAGTGATTTCAGTCACAGGCAGGCATGAAAAAGATAGACAATAGTACTGTAAAAACTAAGACCATAAGGTCAAGGTAAGACCACACCTATATACCATCACAAAAGCTAAGACCATTAAGTCAAGGTAAGACCACACCTATACGCAGTCAGAAGGGGAAGTTTGTAAGACAAAGGACTGGCTTTAGCATGTCACCTTCAGGTTCACCTTCAGGACTTCACAGGGGCTCAGGGTCAGCACTTTGGCCGCCTGTCCTCTTGTGCCTCAATACCTCCCCATCTCTAGGAACATCTAATTGTTCCTAACCTTTCCTGGGCCCATAATACAATTCTACAGATAATGAACAAATAGTAATAAAGACAAAATAGAACAGAATTACAAATGAACCCAATGTCCCCAAACTGCAGGCAGAGAGGCCAGCTATTCTCTTCACGGCTGACTTCGCATGCGGTGTGTGCCAAGGACTTCCAGGAGGCTTAACCCCGTGGGGACGATACCTCTGGTCTGGTTTCTGCCAGGTGACCGGCATTGTCACGCAGACTCTACTGGAGTGGTCGTGGCACTCCATCCCACATTGGGGCTCTGTGTCGGGGGTGGGGGTGTCCAGGAGCTCAGCTCACCCAGGGGGCAGCCTTCATTGCAGACCCCAAAGCGACCACAAGCCCCGTGAGGATGGGGGATGGGAGCCCAGGCACCAACAGCAAAAGCGGGGCCTCTGCCCCGTGGCTCCTAAGCCTGGGGGCACACAGCGCTAGGGCAGAGTTTCTGACCCTGTGCAGACCGTCCTAGTGCTGCTGCCCACCCAAGCAGGGGTCTGGGGAGCTCCAGGCCTGGCCACGAAGACTTCTTGCCTGGGAGCCGTCCTGGAGCTCTGGCTCAGCCCAGCCCCAGCCTGACCTTTTCAGCAGAGGCTCCTGTCGCCCCAGGGGAGCCTGTGGCCCGCCCCATGTCCTGGTTATCCAAACATGCTGTTCTGGGGTGGCAGGGCCCCTCCGGGTTCTGAGGGTATATATGCAGCTGCGCGGGGGCCCCAGCACCCACAAACACCTGCCGCACCCCACAGAGTACCAGGATGAAGCTGCTGCTGCTGAGCCTTGGGTCGGTCCTGGCCTATGCGCTGCAGGACCGCAGCGAGGCACCTGTGCAGCCAGGCTTCCAGCCCAAGGAGGTGAGCACCCGGCTTCTCCTGGGCCTGTCCCCTCACTCCCCGTGCACCCCAGCCCAAAGCTCCCTGGTACAACTGCCTGGGGTCCAAACAGGACAGGTGAGGCCTCCCCACCATGCACCCCCTGCTGGCTGACCCGGAAGGCCCACGTGGGTGAGGATGCACCCCTCGGGTGGAGGATGGGGTGCAGGCATTGTCGGTCTCCAGCGGGCACCTAGCAGGGCAGGTTGGCTGGGTGGGGGCTGAGTTAGCCGGTCCAAGGCTCTGCCCAGCACAGGGGCAGACAAGAGAGTCTACACCCCACAGCCCTGCGGGCGCAACTGCCCCCCTGCTGTTGCCCAGGCTCCAAGCAGATCCCTGGGGGCTCGGCGATCAGGCGGTGTCTGTGCTGCAGGTGGAGGGGCCCTGGCACACCCTTGAGCTGGCCGCCACTAACAGGTCTGCGATTGTGGAAGGGGGCTCCTACCGGTGCTTCATGATCGGCGCCAGAATCTTGGGGAACGGGAACCTGAATGTCACCTACTTCCAAAGGTGAGGGCCCTGCCCAGCGATGGCCGCACTGCAGCCCTTTCCCCAGGACCCATCTGCTCCCCGCTCAGCTGGGGGCCTGGTGACTGCTCAGTCCCGGGCTGCCCACCTGCAGGGTGAGGCGGCGCCCTGCCGGGGTGAACGTTCTGGGGTGCATCCAGAAAAGCTGGCTTCTCCTTAGGAACGCGGATGGGAAGTGCGTGAAGGAATTCTTCATTGGGGAGAAGACTGACACCCCCGGAGTCTACACCTTCGAGTGTGAGTAGTGACCCTCCCTCCCCAGGTGGGAGCCGGCTGGTGGTCCGTGCAGACGTGGTATAGGGGCAGTTCTCTGGAAGCCACAGGGGGAAGCTGGGGTCAGGAAGAAGAGGAGGCCCCGAGTCTGCAATTCAAAATCCAGAGCGGCGGCCTGCAACTGGGTCCCCCGGCTCCCAGGGCTCCCTGGAAATGTGGGGGCCCCTCTGTGCACAGAACAGTCAGGGTTGGAGGGGAGGCCAGAGGGAAGAGCAGGGCTCAGGTGGATTTTCTCTCCCGGACAGAGTTCTCAAGGAGACTTGTGGGGCTGCTGGAGCGGGGTGGGGGCAGAGGGTGCCAAGCCGAGCCTCATAAGCTCGGGCCAGGATTGGGGAGCAGCTCGGGCTTCTCCTCTCCTCCTGGCATCTGCTGTCCCCGGAGACACAGAGACAGAGAGATGGCAAGATGGAGAGAAGGAGAGACAAAGAGATACAGGCAGGGAGATGAAGAGAGACACAGAGATGAAGCGGTAGAGTGGAACATCCGTCTTTCTTCTGAGCTGGAACCTTCCTCGTGTGACAACGACAGGGCGATTTGAAAGTGGGTGACATTGAGAAAGGCGGGAAGGGTTTGTACGGAACTGTGCCCACCTAGTGCCACCTGGAAAGGCAAGATACAGGACTGGCCAGATCTCCTCGGTCCGCCTGGGCGGCGGACAGGCCGGCTGCTGGGTTCTTTCGCGCAGATGCCAACAAGAGCAAAGGCCTTGCCCAGAGCAGACACATGGGTGATGTATTTGGAGAATTCCGAGAAGTCCCTCTCTTGGACTAATGATGGTCACAAAAGGAAGGGAGAAAGGTCAGACCATAGCTTACCTCAAAAAACTAGTAAGGAGTGACAGTTCCACCTCATTCGTTACAAAACAGATGTCTTGTGGCTTTTTTGAACCATGACTGAGTACCTCGCATCCTAGCATTCAGAGCACGAATGGCTGACAGCATACTTTTGCAGGACAGCCGGGGTTTAGGTAAAACTGGCTGGTACTTGAATGCAAGTAATCTTTTTTTTCAAGCTTTCAGAGTCATTCCAGCTCAGCCAACACTCCCACTGTTTTCCCTTTCAAAAGATACAGTTGGACCTGATTAGTAACATCCGACTGTGACCTCCCGATGGCTTCCGGAAGGCTGGTCCATACTTAGGGTTACAACTGGTTATGTGACTACGTTTACACACCAGGGAAAGCCTTCCTTGTCTCAGAACCAAGCAAGACGAGTCCGTTTTGATTGTGTTTATTAACCTGTGAAGGCAATGGTTGACAGCAAGGAAACACTGTCTCTATTTGTGCTCTTGACTATGCTGATTTCATCAGAATTCTCTGTATCTAAAGTGCTGCCTTTTACTTGTTGAAAGCGATTTTAGTGTGGTGTATGTATAATGCCGAATAAAGAATATTGAACCTTTCTCAGAAAAGAGACAAGACAGAGAGACGGACTGGGAGCAGGACTTGGCGCGGAGGCCTGGGTCTGCGGGGTTGGGCTGGGCTCCAGCCAGCAGCACGTGAGGCTGAGCCTGGGAGACAGGGTCAGGCTGCCTGGGCCGGGCAGGTGCAGGGTACGGGTGGCCCGGCTGGATCCTGACAGGCCCGGGGCGCTTGTGTCTCCTGCCTCCCCGGGTAGACAAAGGCAAGAACGTCCTGACTTTTGTGGCCGTGGGCAGTGACTTTGCTGTCATGGACTTCGAGAACAACAGCCTGGACCTCGTGGTGGTTGAGCTGCAGGGTGGGTGCCCGAGTTGGCCATCTGGAGGAGGGGCGGGAGGAGGCCCCCGTCTGGGGACACCAGAGAGTGGCCTGCGGCCTCATGCCGGGGCAGCAAGGCTCGGTGGGCGCCAAGCAGGCAGCCTATAATCATGGTGTCCCCGGCTGCAGCTCGGCCTCCGCTTCTCTCGGTGAGCCCACCTGGGAGGGAGGCCTACAGTGAGCACCTATCCAGACGAGGCATCGGGTTGGATAATGTGGAGGACCTGACTGTGCAGGGTGAGCTGCCCTTTCACCCCCATACCTCTCTTGGGCCCAGAGGACACAGCCCCTCAGGAGACCACAGCCCCTTAGGAGTCCACAGCCCCTCGGGAGGCCACATAGTTCCTCAGGAGTCCACAGCTCCTCAGGAGGCCACAGCTCCTCAGAGGTCCACAGCCCCTCGGGAGGCCTCGGTCCTTCAGGAGACCCTCCTGGAGGACAGGGGTCTCTTGCGGAGTGAGCCAGGGTTTGGGGGTGGGGAGGGCTGCCCTGACCTCACTTCTTCTCCCACCCACAGCACGATGCCCCTCCCTGGGCTCCTAGGTGAGTAGACGCCTGCCGTTCAGCTCTGCTCTTCTGGGGACAGCTCATGGGGACCGTCTCCTGAGCCCACCCTGGTGCACGGCCAGGAGTGCAGGTCTGAGCCTGAGCCACCATCGGGGACAGAAAGACAGGTTGTACGGGGGCTCACGGGGCTTGGCACCTCCCGCAGGAAGACCAGGCCCCCATCAGCAGGGAACAGAGGGGCACAATTAGAGTAGGGGCCCAAGCTGCCTCCCTATCTGCAGTCACCTATGCTGGACGCCCGGGTGCACACACACTCCAGCCTGTGCACACCAGTGCTCACACGCACACCGCACGAACACGCTCAAATGTACATGTACACACTCCACACACACACTCCTCCTGAAAACTCCCTGGTTGGCCCATCACCCTTGGTTTGCTCCCCACTTCCTTCACCCCGAGTGTCCTGTCCTGTACCCCAGCCAGCTGGCGTGGTCCTCACCTGCACCCTGGCTTCTGGGGCAGCCCTGTCCTCACTCCTCCAGGCAGCAGCGCTGAGCCCTTTTACCCCGTCGTCCTCCACAGCTCGGGAATGTGGGGTACACACAGGCCCCTGAGAAACCCCAGAATCGCAGCCAGAGGCCAGCAGGAGGCTGGGGTCTGTGACCTCGAGGCCTTGGCCCTGGTCTGGAAGGCTTGGGGGTCCAGTGGTTCAGCCACGGCCACACAGGGCCCTTGGGACCGGGATAGCAGGACAGTGGAGGGGAGGGCAGGAGGGGACAGTCTTGGGAACTGCAGCCAGGCTGGAGGTGCAGCAAAGCATCTGGTCCTCAGGTCCCCGGAGCACGACTGCATCCCGAGCCAGTGTCTCTTGCAGCCTCCGCTTCCAGACCCCTGCCCAAAGCAATAAACAGGCTCTGCATCTGCTCATGGCTCGTGGCCTCTTCTCTTGTCTGCACCTGGTGGCAGTGGAGCTCCTGGGCTCTGGAAAGGCTGCTGGATGGGAGTGGAAGAGCCTGTGTCCCCAGCCCTTGAAACAAGGCAGAGTGGGTGACAGGGAGGACCCAGAAACCCTGGGCCCAGGTGCAGCTGGGCTGTGGAGGGGCCAAGGGGAGCGCTGAGCCACCAGACCCAACCTGTCCGCACGACCCGGGCCCCATGTCTGTCCCACCTGCCACCTCAGTGTCCCTGACTGCTGCTCCCACACAGGCTGGGTTGAGCCAGCACCTACTGGGGCAGCACTTTGGGGTCCCTGAGCTCCTGGCCAGAGTCCCCCAGATGAAAGAGGAAGGGCCTGGAGGCCAGGGGAGCTGGCTCAGGGGTAGGTACTGAGCTGGCAGGCCAGGTTCTGCACTGGATCCCAAGGCCAAGAGGACCCTACGAACTTGAGCTCCACGCCTGCCTGGACATGCAGGCAGGGGTGTGGGGCTGGAAAGGCAACTGGAGCTGGGGGTGCGGGCCACAAATGCAGGTGTGCAGCTGGCTCAGGGCCTGGCTCCACTGCTCCTCTGTCTCCAGCATACAGGGGCCAAGCTAAGTGGGCGTGAGGGAAGTGAGGACATCAGAGAGACAGACACCCCAGGAGGAGGGCGGCCCGAGGGGAGGACAGGCCCCGTGGGAGGGGCCAGTGGGCCTGCCTCCTCCTCTCTGAGTCCTCCTGGCCTCACCTGCCATGCGGACACGGACACAGGCAGCCGCAGGAGGCAGCCTCTGCCCCAGGAAGGACAGGCTGGTCAGGGCCAGTGGACAGCAGAGTCGTCCAGGCAGCGGCTCCTGCACAGTCACAGAGAGGAGGAGCTGCTGCCGTGATGCTGGAGGGAAGGCTGTTGCTGCCGCTGCTGGCTCTTAGCCTGGGCCTGGCCAGTGCTCAGAAGGCTTTGGACGAGGTGCCTGTGCAGCCAGGCTTCGACTCCCAGAAAGTAGGTGTCATGGGTGAGGCCTGGAGGGAGCTGGGGCAGGGGCAGGGGCAGGATTCAGGCACACAGGGGACACCCATGAGCTTCGTCCTCCCCTCCTGCCCTGGCTATCACAGATGGACCTCCTCCCTGTCTGCCTGGCCCTGGGTTCCCGGAGACCACAGTCAGGGAAGGGGGCTGTGGACAGGGCCAGGCCCGGAGGACACAGGACAGTTCTGGGACACAGTGCCTCTTGCATCTGTCCTCCCTGGACCTGCACGGGATGGAACTGAGGCCAGAATGGGCATGGGCAGAAGGATGGAGGCAGCAGGGAAGGGGAAGGCAGAGAGGAGGGGACTTTGTCAGGCGGGAGGCCACAGCTTGTGCCACCCAGGGCCGGTGGGCATTCACCGAGCTGCTGGGGTGTTGGCTGGGTCCCTCCCGGGGTCACATCCACCTGCTGGCCCCACTCAGAGCCCATGCCGGGCCCAGGACACCTGTGGCAGGGACGGCCAGCCTTGCCCTCTGTGCTCACACCTGCAGGTGGAGGGACGCTGGTTCACTGTCCAGCTGGCCGCCAGCCACGCACACCTGGTCTCCCCGGAGGACCCCCTGAAGCTGTCCCTCTACTCCATCTGGACCCGGGACAGCGGGGATGTGGAATTTGTGCTGTTCTGGAAGTGAGCATGGTTCCCAGTCTCGGGGCCTGGGGACATCACCAGCAGTCAGAGCCAGAGGGGCGGGCAGGACAGATAGCCCGGAAAGGCTGTGGCCAACCGAGCTGTCCCCACTGCCCACAGGCCATGCTGTCTGGGTTCCCTGAGCCTGGAATTTTAAATGTGTGATCTCCAGTGTTAAAAGCAGCCTGCACATTGTGAGCAGCACGTGCCTGGCTGCTCTGCCTTGGAGCAAGTGAGGAGCTGCGGGGGCACTTTACATACCAGCCCACCGTGCTTGTGACCTGACCGTGAGGCTGGCCCGGTGCGTCCTCTCCGCGCACCGCAGTGCAGGGACCAAGCTGTTTCCCGCAGATGGCTGTGCCTCAGACGGCGGCACAGGGACTGGGAAAGGCCGCCTGTTGCACCTGCACCCCAGTAGACTTGTGGCTGGATGTGGGCGGGGCTCTATGCACAGAGCCACCATCGAGGACTCGAGGCCTGGTCTCCTACCAACCACCTTGGGACCCAGAGCTCAGAGCTGGGAGTGGGGACCCCGGGGATGCCGGGCTGTGAGGCGCCTCCGGCAGATCCCTGAGCAGTCCACTCCCTGTGCTCCCTGTGCAGGGCTCCAGGAGCCAGGAAAGGGTGGCGGTGTAAGTGTCCCCTCTTTCCTCAGGGGAGAGGGTGCGTGTGAAGGAATAAACATCACCGTCCACCCGACTGGGCTGCTGGGCCAGTACCTCGGTTCCTGTGAGTACCTCTCTCTGGGTGGATTGGGATTTGGGGTGCCCAGCTGTCTGCCCCAACCCTGGGGAGCTGCTGGCTTTGGGGGGCAGTGGGTGTAGGAGGTGGCCCCATGCCCACTGTGCTGCCCGTGGGGCTGAGGACAGACCAGAGAGGTCCCTGTGTCACCAGCTGGGTCTCCCCAGTCGAGGGGGGCCGCATGCATGTCCGCTTCGTCAGCACCGACTATGCCAACCTCATCCTTTACGTACGATTTGAGGACGACGTGGTCACCAGCTTATGGGTGCTGCTGGGTAGGTCCTGGGGGAGTCAGGGCCTCGGGCTGCCAGGGTCAGCTGGTGGGGTCTCAGGGAACAGGGTCACCAGGACCCGAGTCCTGGGGGTGTCAGAGGGAAGTATTCTGGGAGAAGAGCTGAGGGCTCTTTGGGAAGGGAAGAGGGCTCCAAAGGCCAGGGAGAGGTGGCTGAGGGGCACAGGGAGGCCCACCATGGCCAGGACTTGGGGCTGTGGTGACACAGCTGAGCTCTGCACTGAGAGGGAAAGCGGGGGATATCTTCTGGCCTCGCCTGGGGGGAGGGAGCAGCGGCCACCACCCCTGTGCTGGGATAGACTAGCTTTCCAAGGAGTAGAGGTGGGGCCGCTGCAGGGTCTGAGGAGGGCAGTCTGGGTTGGGAGGTGGCAGGGCAGGAGGTGCCTACCTGAATCATAGTGCTGGGCACCGGCACCCGGGCTGGGACCCCTGTCTCGAGGTGGGGTGCAGAAGGCCGGCTCAGAGCCTCGGCCTCACCCAGCCTCGGGTTTCAGCGCGGAGCCTGCCCGGGGACTCCGCGTGGCTGGGGAGGTTCCAGGAGTGCACAGAGCGCTTCCACCTGTACGGAGCTCCTGTCGCCAACACGGCCAGTTAGTGCTGCCCCCGCCCCGCCCTAGCCGGCCCAGAGCAGTCACAACTGAGGATGGCTGGAGGGACACTATCCTCCACGGCCCCCACAGTGTGTGCAGAAGGCCAGGGTGGGCGTTGGGAGTGGGGCTGGGCTTCCAGCAGGGCACAGGGCCATCAGGACACAGCCCCACGGGGCAGATGGCAGCACACAGGGCACCCAGGACAGTAGTGTTGGGCGGTGACTCTTGGATTCCCTGACTGGGAGGCAGCCCTCACAGCCATGCCTCCTCTCTGTGCCCACAGGCCCGTGCCCCCCACCCAGGCTGGGGTGAGGTGGCTCCACCCTGTGGACCCCTCAGCCTGCTTCCCTTCACCTGGTCCGAGAGCCCCTCTTCCCGGAGCCCTGTCCACCTCATCCTCGCCTTCATACTTTGGGCCACCGGGTCCTGCCAGCCAAGAGCATCAAGGGGACCCGCAGTGCCCCCAGCTGCCCTAGGCTGGAAGAACCCTGGAGTGGTGGGGAGGGGCGCATGGCTCTGTGCTCTCTGGAAACATCCCGCGCTGGGCCCATGGGGTCGTCCACAGTGTCCTCCTGCCCAGGGCGACCCCAGAGGAACCTGGGTCAGACTTCAGGCCCAGGTGGAGCTTCTAGAGGTGCCGTGGGTGCCCGGACCTGCTCCCCAATAGAGCCCCACCCAGGCCGCTCTGGCTGGCAGGCCTAGGAAAGTGGGTCAGACACATGAAGCCTCCTTCTGGGAGGCCCGGGACAGGCCTGGCTGGATTCCTGACCCAGAAAACACCCATCGGAGCCTGTGGGAGCAAGGAGCCCGGCCCAGCACCTTCCAACCACCAAGCATGTCGCGGTGCACGTGGTCACAGGAGCTCCACAGCTCCTCACCAATTTCAAGGCTCAGTGTGGGGTGAGAGCCTCGCCTCTTTCCCCTCCAGGTGCTGCCACTCCCCTCCCTGTCACTGGAAAGAGCATTTTATAACAGCCCTGTGTAAATCGACGTACACGTGCATGTCCATTTCTTCACTTTGTGTCCCGACTTCGTCTTTCTTTCTGTCCTGAGATTTGCCACCTGATTTTCAGGTGTTAATCGCTGTCGTGATGTGCGGCAGCCACCACACTTGGCTAAAAGTTAAATGCTTTTCTTTTTCTGAGATTTTCCCCTCTTAGATTCTTTTATTGGTACATTTTAGGTGTACATTTACATTCATCAGTGAGAACCTGTACCTTTACATGATGACGTGATGTACCTTGGTTCTTATTTCTTCCCCATTCCTCTGCCCTCCCCCCTCCCTATTTGCAAAAGCTTTGTTTCCATTTATTTCTAATCTCATATTTTTTTCCTTTCTCTTCTTTCTTTTCCCCTACCCCTTAGTACCTTTTCTTCCTATTTCACATTATTAAATGCAGTGCACACTAAATCTTTTTGGGTCATTAGTGTGGGCTGACAGAAGTGTACTAGGGGCAGGGATAGAGGCTGGGAGCTGGAATGACCTGGGTTTTCTGACTTTAAGTGAGCTCTTGGAGTGCCAGTTCTAGACACTGACAAGTTAGCATGTCATGCCTGGCATGCTGGCGCACGCCTATAATCCCAGCACTTGGGAGGCTGAGGCAGGAGGATCACCACAAGTTCGAGGCCACCCTGAGCTCCAGAGTGAGTTGAAGAACAGGCTGAACTACACAGTGAGACCTTGTCTCAAAACAAAACAAAGTTTACCTGTCATTTTCCCAGATAAACCAAGGGATTTAGGTTGGTTTAATATTTCTCCACCATTTTTCTAAAGGTAAAATTTTAGAAGTCTTCTCAATAAATTACCCTCATCCATAAACTGGCAGGGGAAAAATATCTTGTTTAGTGCAATCCTCCCTTCCTAACCCCATCAGACAAATCTCTGGTTAACAGTTGCAGATGTGAGGTCTGTGGCTAACATAATGTTTGGCTCTCCCCACCCCAAGTGAGACAGGGTCTTGCTCTGTAGCCCAGGCCAGCCTCAAACTCATGGCGCTCCTCCTGCCTCAGCTTCCCAAGTGCTGGGATCACAGTATGTGCCATCACGCCCATCCCTAGTTCCTCCGTCTTGAAATTCATGTAGGCTGATTTTAATGGAGAAGGATTCTGCAAGATGCGACAATAGGGTCTCCAGAAATGCCATCTTCCTCAATCCCAGGGACACAGCAGGACAGGTGGTGACAGCCCTGGACTATCGTGAAGTCGCAGAGGACACACACAGTTTGGCCCTGGGCCAGACCCGGAAGCCAAGCCTGACATCTCTGCCTGTATCCGGGTCCCTGATTCAGGGTCCCAATGTGTGCAGAGTGCCAAGTGCATCCCGAGTGGGGTCCCTGAGGCTGCGGCTGCGGACCACGGGGCCGCGCAGCTTCAGCCACGGGGTGGCAGGGCAGGTGGGGTCCCCCGAGGCCTCCTCATAGGCCGTGCACAGCCTTCCCTGCGTCCTCACAGCGTGTCAGTGTTGGGACCGTCTCAGATTGGACGAAGGCCATCTGAGGCCTTCATTCTAACCAGCGACTCTGGAAGACCCTGTCGCCACGCTTGGTCAAACCCTTGGGAGCCACGGCACCTCCCAGGGCTGCCCACTCTGCAGCCCCCAGGGCCGGTCTCTGGGAGGCGCAGCCACAGGACCCGGTGACACTCCTGAGCAGGAGCTCGGCCCCAAGACCCTTGGACCCACTGACAGACCATGGACCACGGGCAGCCAGCCGGGACACAGATCTGTCCCAGCGCCTCTGTGGCAGAGCCCCTTCACCACGAGCTCCACGGGCATCGCTTTTAAATTAAAATGAAACTCGTGCTTTGACAGCCCGGACTCGCCTTCTGTGACCATGGCGCTGGGCCTGGCCCAAGCCCACCCTGCGCTGGAGCCACTCAGCGTACCGGGTGCCCCAGCCGGTGGATATTTATTTTTCCTTTACAGTTCACATTTCCATTGCTGGGAAGAGATTTTTATTTTTTTTATCAACTAGAGTCTTTCTCCTTTAGAAAAAATGGCTCTGTGTCCAAAGTGTTTCTATGTTTCCACAACGCAGAGCCGGTGGGTTTGCTGTGTGCGGATATTAAATAACGGCCCGCTGTTCTTCTTATCCTCTAAAAGTCAAATCGGATGGGCCGGCACCGCAGGGAAGGAAGTCCCCGTGGGAAGGGGCTGTCTTCAGTCTCTGAGGAGAGGCCTGCTCCAAACTGCTCCACCCGTGGGTGCCGCCCTCAGACGACCCTGGGGTCCTGAGCCACCTTGACATACAGCACCTGGGGAGGCAGGTTGAACTTGGCGTCCCAGCCATACTCGGGGGACAGCAGCTTGCTGGGCCTGTGGAGGAAGAAGTACTTGTTGAGGTGCTTCTCATAGGTGCTGTTGAGCCTGCTCTCCAGGTCCTGACGCATGCCCTGCAGACACTCCTGCACGAGGGCCAGCACCTGCCTGGGCAGGCCGCCCACAATGGCGCTCCCGTAGTAGAAGTCGCCCTGTCCGAAGGGAATGTAGGCCGCCGAGCTGGGCCTCCGCTCATAGGGGAAGCTCTGGTTGTTCTGGAAGTACCACCAGGCATGCAGCTGGGCCACCGATGTGCCCAGAGTCTCCAGGCCGAAGTCACCCTGGAAGACCAGGTTGCTGGCCGTGCTGAAGAGGAAGTCCACCTCGTCGGTGATGTGGCCCAGCAGGTGCTCCCGCAGGACCTGCAGGCCCATGAGGTCCAGGTCGGGCCACCACCACCGCTCGCCCACCATGAGGATCTGGAAGCTCTGCAGGGGGCTGGGCTGCATGTCGGGTGGGTCCACGAAGCTGTCCAGGATGAGGTAGAAGACCACCCGCTGGCCGGGCATGAAGTGCGTGATGGCGGAGCGCAGGAACCGCTCCAGGTGCCCATCAGCAGACCTGGGGCACAAAGAGGGAGGGACAGCTCACGGGGGCCCAGACGACACCCTGCGTGCTACCAGAAGTGTCACTGACGGCAATGGGACAGCACCACTGGGGAGTGGCCGTGAGGAGGCCAAGTGGACATGAGTGGGAGAGAACCGGCCACAGCGGAGAAAGAGCAACGCATTTCCTGGGCAGGCCACCCGGGCTGCCCCGAGCAGGAAGAGGGTCCAGGGAGGCTTGTCCTCACGTTTGCAGAACAGAAAAGCCAAGGTCAGTAGCACCTACCTGGTGGGGGCAAAGACCACCAACCCCACGGTGAGATTCCGCCCCCTGTAGTGCCTCTGCAGGGCCTGCCTGCTGAAGGTGCCTTCCCACAGCACTGGGGCCAGCCAGCTGGTGACCGTGAGGATATCCGGGCGTCTCCTACGGGACACAGAACGAGCAGAGCAGGTGCCGGCACACGTGGCAGCTAAGGCACACAGGGCGCCTGCTGCTTTCAGGTGGGCAGGTGGGCACAGTCGTTCCTCAGCCTGGTGAGACCTGTGCACTCATGCAGGGAAACAGAGGCACAGACAGCACACGGCGAGCTTGTGCCGCGACACACTGCTGGCCCTGCCCGGCCACCGCCTCTGAGCCCAGGGCCACAGAAAGGCAGCCAGAGTCCGCGCATTCGTCGCCACCGCCCAAGTGACTCTTGTCGAGGGCAGCAGCACTGCCTCCCTCAATGCCTTTCACCGCCCCTTCTCCCTCCTTCTGCGTCTCCTTGGGGGCCATCGGTGCGGTCCAGCGGAGGTGAGGAGTCCGAGCTGGAGGCGGCCATTCGACTAGCTTCCGTCACAGGGAAGAGACAGGATTGTGATGTACCGGGCTGGTCCGACATCTGAAGGCCCCGTTAGCTGCCACATCGGAAGTGAAAGGACCACCACACCCTGCTCGACCGACAGAGGAAGGCGTTGTGCGGGGCCCAACCTCACGTGACAGAAACTCCCGAAGAGAGTAGGGGTGCCGGGAATTACAGGAGGCTGACCGACCCACCAATCCACCTAGAGAGGGGTCTGTGAGGGCTCGGGAGAGAAAGGCAATGGAGACACGATTTTGTGAGGCATGGGGGACCGGAGGTCAGTGCCTCAGAGTGGGCAGACAAGGACACTCCGAGCCGGCCACTACTTATTGGGGGCACACAGTAACTGGAGGGAGCATCAGGTGACTCGAGGGCAGCGACGATCCTAGGTCAACAAGGGCGGTGAGGCGGGAAAAGCATTTTTTTACCATAATCGGTGGGACGAGGTAAGCTGATAAGGAATTTGCCCCTCCCCAGGTGAAAGCTTTCTCTTTTTTTATTACTACTCAGTTCCCGGAAGAACCAGGATGTCTTCAGCTGAGGAGAGCTTATTTTATTTTATTTTACTTTGGTCCCAGGAATTGAATCAGGGCCTTGCACTTGCCAGGCAGTTGCTGCACCACTGAGCTACATTCCAGGCCACCTGATGTGATCTTGCTCGAGTGTCACAGCATCATGGGACCGCGGAGGCCTCGACTGTGATCGGAGGCACAGAGAATTATGTTTCTGCCCTCCCTAGCCAGCTCACAGGCAAGATTTCTAGACTTGATTGACAGATTCAGTAGAGTAGCCAGATACAAGGTAAATACGCAAAATTCAATAGCCTTCTTGTACACAAATAACAGACTCACCGAGATTGAAATTAGGGAAAGAATCCCTTTCACAATAGCATACAAAAAAATAAAATCTAAGAAAGAAAACAAAAGACCTCTACATTGAGAACTACAACACTGAAAAAAGAGATTGCAGAGGATATAAGAAAATGGGAAGACATCCCTTGTTCCTGGGTAGGAAGAACTAATATAGTGAAAATGGCCATACTTCCAAAGCTGCTATACAGATTCAACACAGTGCCTATTGAAATCCCAACAGTATATTTCATAGAACTAGAGAAAACAACCCAAAACTTCATTTGAAATCAGAAGAGATCTAGAATAGCAAAAGCAATTCTAGGCAGCAGAGACATGGCCAGGGGGTATCACAATCCCTAACTTGAAACTGTACTACAAAGCACTGTGATAAAAACAGCATAGTACTGGCAAAGAAACAGACCTGAGGATCACTGGAACAGATTAGAAGACGCAGAAACAACTCCAGACATATGCAGCCACCTCATCTGTGACAAAGGAGCCAACCATCCTCACTGGATGAAAGATAGCCTCTTTAATAAATGGTGTTGGAAAAACTGGATTTCAACTTGTCAAAGATTAAAATTAGACCCGTATCTTTCACCATGCACTAAACTAAAATCCAGGTGGATTAAAGATATAGATATTAAAACACAAACACTAAACTTGCTGGAAAATAAGTTAGAACTCTTGAAGATATCAGCATAGGAAAAGACTTTATGAACAAATCCTCAGTAGCATGGGAACTAACACAAAGAATCAACAATTGGGATCTCATCTTTTTAAAAAGCTTCGGCACTGCCAGAGAAGTCACATGCAGAGCTAAGAGACAACCCAAAATGTGGGAAAAAATTTTACCAGCTGTTCCTCAAACAAAGGTCTACTATTTAGAATATATAAAAAACTAAAAAAAAACAGGCTTTCCAAATATAAAGACCCAATTCAAAAATGGGCATCTGAAATGAACAGACATTCCTCAGACAAAGAAGTTAAAGAAGCAAATAAACATATAAAAAAAATGTTCAACATCACTGGTCATTCAAAAGAAGCAGATGAAACAACACTGAGATTCCACCTCTCCCCAGAAAGAATGGCTGCTGTCAAGAAATCAACCAATAACAAATGCTGGTGGGGCTGTGGGGAGAAAGGAACCCTGCTCCATTGTTGGTGGGAGTGCAGACTGGTGCAACCACTGTGGAAATCAATATGGAGAGACCTCAAACAACTAGGATTAGCAGTCCCATTTGACCCAGCTATTCCCCTGCTAGGTATCTTCCTAAAAGAATGAAAAGAATCCTACCACAGCATATATACTCACCCATGTTTATAGCGGCACAGTTTGTAATAGCTAAAACTTGGAAACAGCCCAACTGCCCATCAACTGGAGACTGGATAAAGATGTGTTTTGTTTTTTATAAAATAGAGTACTATTCAGCCATAAAGAATGAGAAACTAGAGATATTTATAGCTAAGTGGATGCACACTGAGGCCACATTCTTAAGTGAAGTTAATAAGTCACACATGTGTAAATACCAAATAGTTTCTCTGGTGTGAAAAAGTAAAAGTGTAAATAAGGATGAAAATGTATAATTGATATTGTGTAATAGGAAGCAAAGTCTAAAAGAGTACAGGAAGTGGGAGGGGTAGGGGAAAGGAAAGAAGGGAAAAGAACCAAGATAAGTCATGTAAAGGTACAAGATCCCGAAGATGAATGTAACTGTATTCTATACCTAAAATGTACCAATAAACCTGATAAAGATAAAAAAGACTAGGCCTTAGCACTGGTGATAATTTAATTATGCAATGATTTGTCCCCCAAAATCATATAGAATGGCACTCCACAGGGAATAGACTTGTTATGGCTTAGATTAAGAATGTCCCCAAAGACCCCAGGGCTCTGGGAAGGTGAGTGAATCACGAGGGTGGCAAAGCTGGCTTTCTGTTAGGAGGTGAGGTCTGCTGTGTTTCCCTTCCCGGACCCTTGATTCCTTGATTCCCGGACCCTTCCTGCCCGCCATGCTATGAGCAGCTCTCCTCTGCCAGACTTCTCTGCCGTGACTTCCCGTCTTGTAGCCAGCAGACCACCGGCCGTAATCTGTCTGGAATTGTGCCTCAGTGATGAGAAAGTGACTAAGCCGCACCTCAGTGTGATAAAGAATATCTACAAAAGTCCTCAGCCAACACTTAGTGGTGAAAGGCAGAATGTTTCCCTCCCTCAGATCAGAAACATGGACAGCAAGATGCCCTCTCTCATATGCACTAAACATGAGAACAGAAGTTCTGGCCACTGCAATAGGGCAGGAAAAGAAAGAAAGGCATCAGATTGGAAAGGAAAGAATACTCTGTCCATTGCATAATCAGCTTATTTGATCATCCACACAGACGATCCTAGGGAATCTAGGAAGAAAAGTCCTTCGGAACTGATCAGAAAACTCAGCAAGACTTTGGGAAACTAGGTCGTAAATCTATGACGAAGCTGGAGCCCTGCTGACCCGGTCAGTTCCAAAGCCCATCAGCTGGCCACTAAGCCGCCATACAACGAGCCTTTTGGGGCCACCCTAGAAATCAATGGTAACATAAGTTTATATCCAAGGGAAGATGTCTGGGTCCTGTCGTAGTTCTGCTGTTAACTTTCTGAAGAGCTGGCGAACCAATTACTTTTTTTTTTTTTTGGTACCGGGGATCGAACTTGGAACCACGTGCTTGTGAAGCAGGTGACAGAACAATTGCGCTAAATCCCCAGCCCCAATTACTGTTGGTAGTTTTGTTGGTTAATAGTAAGAACATTCTGAACACTGGACTTTCCCAGCAGATGTGTAATTTGCAGACATTTCCCCCATCCTGGGTGTCTTCTGTCCACTGTCTTTTCTTCAAAGGTGAATGCGAAAGACTTTTTTTTTTTTTTTTTTTGGTACTGGGGGATCAAACTGAGGACCTTGTGTTTGTGAAGCAGGCAGTGGCACCACTGAGCTAAATCTCCGGCTTCTGTCCACTTTCTTGATAATGACCACAGCAGAGTTCACTCGGATGATGTTCACTTTCCCGAGACTTCCTTATGCTGCCTGTGCTGTGGACCCAGCACTTTGAAGAATTTTCCTCCCCTTCCTAGTTTCTTGAGCGTTTAGATTATAAAAGGATGCCCAATTTTGTCAAATGCTTGTTTTCTGCTTATGTTGGGATGCTTTTATGGTTTTAAGTTTTATTCTAGGAATACTGTGTCTTACACTGACCCCTGGTTGAACCAAACTTGCATCCCTGTGGCAAATCCCACCAGCCTGACCCTTCTTCCACATCCCTGGATCCACTCTTCTAGTATTGGGCTGAGGGGCTCTGCCTGCTATATACAGACGACATGGGTCTGTGCTGTTCTTTCAGAGTCTTTGTTTCTGGTATCAGCTGACCCTGACCTCCCAGAATGCACTGGGAAGTGTATCCTTGCTTTTTTTTTTAAACTTTGTGAAGGGTTGGTATAATTCTCCTTTGAACATTGGACATAATCCTTCCATGAAGCCATTTGGCCCTGGCCCAGGGGAACACTTCATGAGGTGTTTAAGTGGTCACTAATTCAATCTGTTTACCCATTTTGGATCCTTCAAAGTTCCTCTTTTCTTCTCGAGTCTTTCTAGGAATCTGGCTGTCGAGGTTGCTGACATGCAAGTGCTCATTGTATTCATTTATAATCATTATGATTTCTGCAGGTTGGAGTGATGTCCCCATCCATCCCTGAATCTCTTCCTTTTTTAAAAAAAATCTATTCTGCTGATATTTTCAGCAAACCTTTCTGCTGTTTTCTATCTCACTTTAACTTTTATCTTTCCCTCTGCTCACTCACATCTGCTCTTCTTCTGCTTCCTTCCTTGGACCGGAAGTCTCCTTCTGTGGCTCAGGCTCACTTACCCAGTGTGTTCCCTGCCCCTCCCCATCCTCTCTGGGATGCAGTGTGTTTATTTTCATCCACTGAACAATACTTTCTAATTTCCTTCGTGGTTTTCTCCTTGGAGCACGGCCACTCAGGGATGAACTCTCTACATTCTGCATACGTATAAGCTCCCCATACTTCTTGCTGTTACCGACATCTGACTTTATCCCCTCTCAGTCAGAGGATGCACTTGGTATGACTTCAAGCCACTTGGGGGCACTGAGATTTTCCTTACCCCGAAGCTCCTGTCTCGCCCTGGAGATCGTTCCCTGTGCCCCTGGGAAGGGAGTATATTCTGGCGCAGTTCTCTGCGGACCTTCTGTTTCCTTGGTGGTCCTCCTGCTCCTCCTCCTAATTCTTTTCCCTTCCCGTTCTCTTTCTCTTTCTTCTCTTTTGGTTTTTTGAGATAGGATCTTGCCATGAAGTTCAGGTTCATCTTTAATTCACTATGTAGCCGACCCTGCTTTGAACTTGTGGTGATCCTCCTGCCTCAGCCTCCCGAATGCTGGGATTACAGACAGGGGCCACCATGCCTGGCATTCCTGGTCTTCTGTCTAGATATTCTGTCCATTATTAGACTGAGAATTATCACTAACTATTCTTGCCAAACAGTCTATTTTCCTCATCAATTTGGGCAGCTCTTGCTTTGTTTAGCTGAGGACTCTTGCTAGATGCAAATATTCATAATTGCTGTTATTACTTTTTCTTGGTATATTTTGTCTGATTTTAGAACAGTTGCTTGGGCTCTTTTTGGGTTAATTTGCATGGTATACATATTCAATCCTTCAATTAAACCTGTTGGTGTCTTTGAATCTTGATTGTTTCTTGTAGGCAGCACATAGTTGGATCATGATTTTACCCACTCTGATATCTCTGTCTTTTAATTGGAGTATTTTCTCCATGTACAGACTGCATCAGCAAAATGATCATCTTGTCATTTTCCTCCTGTACGCCATGTATTCTCTGCTCCTCTTTCCCTCATTTAATGACTCCTCGTGCATTAAACAGACATTTTCTAGAGTGCACTTTTAACTCCTGTATTTCTTTGCTACCCATTGCTTATCTAGTTTCTCACCATTTGCCCTGTGTAAATTACAATTAAAACCTTAACCTGCAGTGATCTAGTTGGGCCAATACCGGTTACATCCACTAGCCGACAAAATCCACCTCCCCTGTGTCATTCCACTCACCCCTGAGCTCTGTGCTGCTGTCACTCAAAGACATCTTTGCATGCTGTAATTAGTAGACCCGTGAATTAGTACGATAGGAGGAGGAGACAGCGGAAGTCAAGGTGCACGGAAGCTGCCTGCCACGTCCCCTCCGTGGTTGCCCCTCCTGGGCTTGCGCCCTTGCTCTTAGCCTGTGCTGGCTGTGAAAGAGCAGGTCCGCTGAAGACGATTTTCTCACGGTTGCTTTCTGGGCATACCTGCACTCCTGCCCTCCTCTGCACAGGGCCGGGCAGGCGGGCCACATGACGCCCATTGTCACTTCCAGCTTCACGCCGTCTGAAGAGACCGTGGCTGGCTGTCGGCCTATTTGAAGCCCCTGTGGTGATGCAGCCCTTCTCTCTTCTGCTCCGTCTTGCTCTTGCAGATGACCGTGACCGGGTGTGGTCCTTCTGCCTGCTGTGCCTTGTGGCTGATGCTGTCTGGTGAGCTTTGATTTCAGTTGCTATACCAGATTTTCTACCTAGTATAATGTCTGAACTGTATTAATATTCTTTGGTAAGGTATTATTCCCAGCTTCCTTGAGTTTTTCAGAGATATTTAAAATAGCTGATTTGAACTCTTTGTCTAGTAGGCCCCAAATCTGGGCTTCACCCAGGAGTTTCTATGGACTCCTCTCTCCCAAAACACAGGCCGTGGTTTTTTGTTTTTGTTTTTGTTTTTTGAGACAAGGTCTCACTGTGTGGTTCAGGCTGGTCTTGACCTCACTATGTAGCCCAGGCTGGCCTTGAACTCACAGTGATCCTCCTGCCTCAGCCTCCCAAGTTCTGGGATTACAGGCATGTGACACCATGGCTAAACCACACAATCTTGTTTCTTTGCATGTCTGTTGTTGTTGCTGTTGAAAATGGGTATTTTAAGGAGTATTATACAGCAGATTCTCCCTTCCTCCCAAGGGTTTGGTGTATTTTGTTTTGTGTTTCTTCCTTTTGCTATTGTGTTTATTTCATGATTCTTCTGAACTAATTGTATAACAAGCTCTCCAGGTCACGCTCCTCTGGGAGTTTCCTGTTGGGTCTGCTGTTGCTCTGGCGGTGGTGAGCTTGTCCTGCTCAGCTCAGTACACACAGGCTGCCCTTGGGCTGCCAGACAGATAGGGGCAGAACTCTGGGGAGCCCTTGGCCTCCCATGGGTGCTTCCTGGGTGCTGGCTCCTATTTTGGATGCAGACCATCAGTGGGACCAGGGCAAGTCAAAGCCCCCAACCTCACCCCTCCCTGATCTCGGCCTTGCCCCCCCACCCCGACTGTAAACCTTGGGTTAATGTCCACAGCTACAAAACCATGATTCGGTTGTTACCATTTTCCTGGTGGGTAGGGAGCAGGGAGCTTTTGCAAGAAGTCCTCACTCCATTTTTGTTGCTGTCACTCAGGAGCCGGTTTTTATGCCTGCTGGATTGGCTGCACTGAGAACCAAGAGGGTTCCAGGCTCCTCACATGGGTGGGGCTCTGCCCTGGGGCAATGGTCAGTGCTGGAGAGCATCTGTCCACCTGTGCTGTTGTTTGAGATGGGGCCTTTTGCTGCCCAGTCTTCACGGCGGGTCCTCGGCTGAATGGATCTTCTTCCACAGCACTGAGGGAGCCAGAAGTCTCTGAAGATGACACAGGGTGCCGTCTTCCTCCTAGAGTCATAAGCCTCAAAACTTTAAAAATAGTCCTTTTCAGAATACGTGCAGATGGGATCCAATTATATTTTTAAAAACACCAAGTGTGATGCTGCCCACCTGTCAACCCAGTACTCTGGGAGGCTGAGGCAGGAGGATTGCAAGTTTAAACACATCCTGGGTAATTTAGTGACTTGTCAGGGACAGAGTCAACTGTGCTGGGAAAGGCGGGGCATGTGTTTGCTCCTTGTCTTCTCACTGAGCCTTCCTGTCTTCAACATGTTTATTTTCTATGTATCTTTCTGGTGAGAAATCAACTGTGGAGCAGGGCTCGCAAACCCCACTGAGCAGAGGTTATGAGATAAGCAAAAAGCCCTCGGTTCCATCCCAATACTGAAAAATTTATATAAATGATGCAAAAAGACAATGAGAGACGGCTCAACCAGGATCCTGTGATCGCCCACCAGGTTAGGGCAGCGGTTATGCCAGAGCTGGGAGCGGCCGAGGGGAGGCCGCGGCTTTCGCCACATTAAAAACAAAGCAGCTCTTCGTGAAGGAATGGGAAGAGCTGTGAGGAGCCGCAGCTTAGGATAGGAAAAGTACGCCTTCCTTCCGGAAAGGAAGGCTCCCCAGGTAACACCCGGAGGTGCACAGCTGTGTGGTCTGCCTTTCTTACCTCGGTTTAAACCACTCCGACAGCTGCAGTTCTCTCTCTTGGCCGCTCCTGGGGACAAAGCAACACCAGGTTACTCCTGGGCCGAGCCCCACAGCCCCCCTACTCTGCTCCGTCCCAAGTCATGTGGGGTCCCCGGAGAGGAAGGACGTCCCTACCAAAGGTGGGACAGGAGGAATACGCTGGCTGGGAGGCGGACTTCAAACAAATCACACACCAGCCTGAGGCAGGCGGGGTGCTTGTTTGAACCCACCCTGTCTCAATTTTTTTTAAAAGGGGACAGGCTGGAGCTGTGAAGGCTCTGGGTTCGACTCTTAGAGCTGAAAAGGATTTTTAAAAAACCAACAGATCAAATAAGAAGATAGACATTCAAATACCACTCTAACTTACTTATAAACAGGAGTGGCTCCGCTATCGCTGACAGCTGACAGGGAGGCTGGGGGAGGGGGCCTGCTGTCCGCCCCCTACTCCCTTTCATTTAAATGCCGTGCTCACCCTGGGCCAGGCTGCCACCTGACAGACACTTGTAGGTTGGAAACGTGTTCAAAGCCTCTCGCCAGCCGTCGGTGACGGTGACCCAGCTCTGAACACCAGCGGCCTGGGCGAGGCAGAGCGACCCGAAAGCCCATTCACAGCACCAAGCAGAGGTCACGGCCAGGAGGACTGTGACCCTACCTTCTCCTTCTAGGACCACCCATCCATGTACCAGTCCGGATTCCTCACTTTATACAGCTAAACAAAATGTTCAGTTTTGAGTTTGAACAAAGGCCTATCACAGCGGCAGTATTTAAGTTTCTCGAATGAAGATCCACTTATGTCCTGATGTCTTAGTCAGATAATCCCTGAGGGAGTCTCCTGCCCGGCCCCACAGGCTCAGCTGCGGGTGGAGGCGAAGCCCCTGCTGTCCCTGTCTCTCCGGGGCCCATGTTCACCAGCAGCTGGAGTTCAGATCTTAGAGTTCAGATTTCAGCCACCCGATGGGTCTGCGGTGGTGAGAATCTAGCACAGTGACACATGGTAGTGTCTCCCTAACACTTATTACCCTGGCAGATTTTCTGGTGAGATATTGGTTGACTTCTTCCTCCCTGTGGTTTTTTGGTTTTAGTTTTGGTTTGTTTGGAGGTAGCGCAGGCTGACCCTGGACTCACATCAATCCTCCTGCCTCAGCCTGCTGAGTGCCGGGATCACAGGCACGCTCACCTCACGTTTTAAACGGAGCAGTTTCCTTATCATCTCATCTTTCGGTTGCAGGGCCTGTATCCCATCTGTTGTGCAGAGGTTCAGTCTTTGAAGACATCGTCTCTGGGAACACAAGTGCTTTCCCACTGCACATGGCAGCCCACACCTGTGATCCCAGCACTATGGAGGCTGAGGCAGGAGGATCACCATGAGTTCAAGGTCAATCTGAACTACATAAGACATAGCAAGACCTTCTCAGAAAGAAAGAGAGAAAAAGAGAGGGACAGAAAAAGAGAAAAAAAGAGAGAAAGAGAAAGAGAGAGAGAGAGAGAGAGAGAGTAGAACAACTGACTTTCTAATGATATTTGGAGCGGCTGCATCCTTCCTGGACCGGAGGTGGAGCAGCCTGGGGTGGGGCTTCCTGGGCCTCAGAGCTGAGCTTCCTTCGCAGGTCGCCTGAGTCCTGCTCCTGGTAGACAGGGCTGGAACCTCCGGATGGTTCACAGCTCACCTAAAGCAGGGCTGTCCGCCTCCGGCCGGGCTGTTTTATGCCCTTCACTGTGTAACAGGCGACTTCCCTGCCATGTTTGTGTAGAACACAAAGCTCAGCGAGCTCGGGGACTGTCATTGGTCGCTGCCTCCCAGAACCTGGAACAGAACCGGGTACCCGGACAGTGCTGGATGGGTCCTGGCGAGGCGGTGACAGTCCACAGAACTGAACCGCGTGTGCACCGCCCTGCAGCTGGGCCCTGCAGAGCCCAGCGGGCGGCCCGAGCTCTCAGAGGAGGCTGGGCAGTGCGGGTCCCCTCGCCCATCACTGAAGGCTATTCTCAGTCGATATTTTCTATTTACCTGAAGTAATGCTGAGCCATCAGCAGCGTCAAAATAAACGAAATAAGGAGCAGCATCCTTTTTTTGGAATTCATCCTTTCCTGGGGCAAAAGGGGTGGAAGAAGTTCATCGTCAGCATAAAGAGCCACACACCCCCACAGTGTACTCCTGGGGCCCACGGGACAGCAGCCTGAGTTGGGGGCTCTATGTCCCGCCCAGGGCGCCGTGTAGCCTCGGGGTCAGTCCCAGCTCCGCATCCCCTCCAGAAAGCCACGGTGCCAGCGACTGCAGGAAGAGAATGCTGCCCAGCTGTCACAAGCTGAGGGGGCGCGTGCGGTCACCGAGTGTCCCACAAATGCTCTCCCCTGGGGTCGCAGCCACTCATGGCCACGCGAACCCATCTGCGTTAGTCTGCAGCCAGCAGGGCCGAGGGAAGGGAGGAGCCTGCGCCCGGGGTGACTTCCGTGGCCTCTCCTCGTGGCAGAGCTCAGGTGGGGCTCCCGTCTGCGCCCCGGTGACAGGTCCACACAGAGGGGTCTCTGAGATGCCCGAGTGAGTGAAGGGCACAGACACCCCAGTCCCAACCCTGGGCTGGCTCTGCACTGACTTGGGAGCCGCCTGATCTACTCAGGGAAGTAAAACTGACTTGGAAAAGGCATCTGCCTGCCTCTTTCGACCCCAGGCCAAGCAGCGCCATGGACAGAGGACATTGCAAATGCAGCTCCTATCCCTGTCCCTGCACAGCGCGCCCTGGGGAGGCCACAGCAGGCAGGGTTCTCCACGCAATTTAAAACTGACCACCTTTTCAATTCCGGGAGCAGGATGTGGCCGCCTCTATCCAGCATGGCCTGCCCCGTTGCATGGTCCCCCAGCCGTCACCTCTCCTGCACCCCTATGAAGCCAAGGCCCAGGGATGGTCCCCCCAGCCGTTACACCACGGACTCCCAGAGTTCCACACCGCCCTTGCTCCCAGGCCCCTCACTCTGGCAGGGAGCCCTCAGCCCACGAGGACAGGCCTCATCCAAGGAAGACGTCCCAGGAGACCCCGTGCTGTTCTGGGGACGCTGGACTCTCCTTGGGTGGTGATGTCACCAAGCCCCTTTGATGATGTGAACATCACCATGGCAACTGCCCAGAGGTTCTGGTTGGCATGGAGCAGATGCAGGATTCAGTCCCGATGGAAGGGCCGAAGCCTGAAGCCTGTTTTAAGGTGTTGCTTGGCTTTTGCTTCCTTTGCCGTGGCTGATTCTGATTCATAAAAGAGAGATATTTAGAACAACCTGTGTGGTGTGCACCGATGTGTGTGAAGGGCAAAAATAGCAAATTCAGATAAAAATTTATTTATATCATATAACATCTGATTTATTTTTTGATTTTTGGTATGGGGGATCGAATTTGGGTCCTCGTGCGCCCGAGGCAGGCGGTGGAACCACTGAAATAAATCCCCGATCCAACATTTTATAAATAGAGAAAGGTAAACTATTTGATACTAACAAATTTAAATGCATTTAAAAAATGAATGGTTCTAGTATAATGTCATTTTAACTGTTATGCTAAAATGCTGTTTTGCTCTATATTTTAAATTTTCCTTGTAAAACTTTATTACTGTTATCTGATAACATCTTACAAAGCTGTGACTTCTCATGGACAACCAAAGGAGCACGACAAGGCCATTAACCATCACTTACGGCACAAAAGAAGTGCGACACCGGCCCCTGACACCAGGGACAACCACTGATGGAAAAGATGTCTGCTCCTGGTCCCGCTTCGTACTTTCAAAGTGCCCAATATTCAAAAAAGATTGTGACAGCAGAGACTAAAGCCTGCTGCTCCCACTCCAAGGCCAGCATGGCTGAGCTGGGCTTCCCACAGCTGGGACTTAGAGACCAAAGCAACCAGGAGCTGGCCGGAGAGGACAGCCGAGATTTCGGCCCTGGCCTCCCAGCCAACAACAGCCCAGACAGGAGAGACCCCCTGAAGGAGCCTCCAACTCGGAGAGGCACCCACCTTCTGAGCAGGGAGACTGGGACCCCCAAGCAGTCCGCGTGCACTGTGCCAAAACCAGGGTCCAGAGAGGTAAATGTCCCCAGGCCTCCACGGGGTCGAGCAAGGCCGTGACCCTTGCTGGCAGATGGCAGGACGCAGGCCTGAGGGCTCTGCACACAGCTCAGAGGAGCCCGAAGAGTCTTGGCTGAGCTTGACAGATGCAACCACAGAGTTAATTCTGACTGACACAGGCCTTACACACCCAGCCGGCAAGGGTAACCAAAAATATATACAATATCTGAGAGAAACCACGCGCTACCTAAGCTCGTGTGTCTGGTTTGTTTCATTCAACACTGTGGTCTCAAGGTGCGCCCATCTTCCTGCAAAGGACTCAGGTTTATCTTTATGGCAGGCAGTGCTTCGCGGTGTGCGAAGATGTTTTCTTTATCCACTCATCTGCTGATGGACACGTGGGCTGTGGGTTGTGCTGCTATAAAATATGCATGTGCGTTATAAACAAGAGCGAAGCAAAAGACAGACAGGACGTAGACAGACAGATCTTGCTCAAATGGGAAGGGAACTGAGGGAAGGAGGGGAGGGACAGGGATGAAAGAGGTGTGAGGATGTGCTGCGTGCGCGCGTGCGTGCGCCAACTCCTCAAAGCCTGGGCCCAGCCTGCGTGCGGGAGCTCTTCGGCTCCTGACTGCTGATGCTGCCCCAGGAGGGCCTCCTGCTAGGAGCCCACAGCTCTGCTGTGGCAGAGGACTGTGCCGTCTGATCCTTCAGCACCCGAGCACTAGGCTGTCAGCCTCTCCCACCCCACCCAGGCGACCTGCTCCCTCCCAGGGTGCCAGATTTTGTTACATGAACACAGGAAGGGTGTGCTGGCTGAGCCCAGGGCCTTTGGGCTGAGCTACATCCCTGGGCCTTTCTAATTTTTATTTTGAGATAGTGTCTCTTCAAGTAACTAAGTCACCCAGGCTGGGTTGGAACTTGCCACCCTCCTGCCTCAGCCTCTATGCCTGGTTACTGCTTCCTAATTTAAACACAGCGACTCTTAGGTTAGATTTTTTAAATCTTGTAAGTTACTGTTTATAGTAGATATACCCTAAAGACACAATGAAAAATGGAAATGACATGGAGAAAACTTACCAGTCAAATAAAAACGTTCAGGTTTTTTTTTGTGTGTGGCTTTTAGCATTCAAATTCTGAGCGTTTGGCCACACATTCCTATGTGAACATTGTACCTGCTGCACTGTTTTAAGTGGCACTCACTGTCTTTAAAGGTTGATCTGTGAGCGTCCACTGGAAGATCGGGGAACACAGCTCTCTGGTCCCGATCTGGAGGCCCCAGCATCACTGTGTGGCGCTGACCCCCACACAGATGGCAGAGCCTGGGGCCCACCCACCCCATCACCTGACCCTGCCCCAACAGCACGCGGGACCCTGAGTCCCCCCCGTCCCTGCTGCCCCTCTCTCGGTTGGCTGAGCCCCCCCGCCAGCTGTGGCTGCCCCGGCCTGGGCTCCCAGACCCCACACTGGCTCCCGAACATCTGAGCTGTCCTGTGCTAAGTTCCTCCCAACCACCTTGCTGTTTGCTGTCTACCATACTGGAACATGCATCCCAGAGCCATCTGTGTTAGGCTTAGGAGGGTGGGAAGGTAGTGGCTGGTTGGTATGTGGACTCTGGCCTCTGGCCATGATTACACCAGATTAGGTCATCCAGAGAGAACCCCATACTCACATCCTGGTAGCATTTTCATTTGAGACTGCCCAGGCTGGACTGAACACTCGGGCTCAAGCAATCCTCCTGCCTCAGCCTCCTGAGTAGCTGTGACCATGAGTGTACTCCACTGGGTCTGGTTTCTGGAGGGTCCGTGAGTGATGGCCCAGAAAACACGCAAACACGCATGCATTCACGCATGCACACGCTCTCTCTCCTGCCATGTCAGTGGGCACCCCAGTCTCCGCCACCAAGACAAGGCCATGAGGCGCTTGTCCTCCAGCCTGCGCCTTGGAACCACGAGCCAACATCAATCTCTTTCCTCTGAAGACAGCCTGCCGGGAGCTGTCACAGGAAGGAAAACTTGTTTCTCAGAGAAACTTGGGCTATGCTGGCCGTGACGCCACTGTGCTCCTGTCAAAAGTGCAGCTTTCCTCGCAGAGAAACATCGTTTCCCATGCGACACGGCACCGCCCTGACTTACAAACCCCCTCGGGGCTTCAGAAAGGCTGTCATCTCTTCACTTGGCTCGTGTCATCTTGGCATGATGTGTCTCAGCCTGTTTATGGCTTTTCTAAGGGCCGGAAAGGCTGCGGCCTGCTGACTGCCGCCAGCTCCGAGCAGCCTCCGCACGGCCCAGCTCCTTGCCGCTCCAGCGCTGTGTGCTCTTCCTCCCTGCCTCTTATACGGCAGCAGAATCCCCGCTCCACACTCACAGTCCTCTTCCGGGGCACGGCCTCCAGGTCTGGGAAGCGCCCAGAGTTTTAGGATGGCAGGGTAAACTGTCTAGGCCTGAAGAGACACTGTCCGCGTCCTGCCCTGGGCAGGCGTGACCCTGCCAGCGGTGACGGCAGCACCCACAGCACCGTCCGTGGTCAGGCAACTGTGCCGGGCAGCCCTGGGAGCTCTGGTGATGGCTCAAGGGGTGCACCCTGCTCACCACCTCCCGTCTCATCTCTCCCACCTGTCCCCCACACTGCCTCGAGCCCTCTGAACCCCATGGGCCTGCAGGACACCCCCGCAAGCCCAGAGAGGAGGCCCTGCTCCAGGGAAGGGACGCGCTCAGGTGGGCTCCTCCTAAGCAGAGCTGCTCTCCCATCAGAATGGCCGTTTCTTAAATTCTTCTTAACAAGTATTATGACAAAGTCTCAGACTTACAGATAACTTCTATCCATGAAAGAATCTAAGACCAGCGGTTCAATCACTATTTCAATTTCTAAGTGTGACTTTCTCCCCAACCTGCCCTTTCACTCTAGTGTGCTCATGCTTAGATGATGCATATTCTAATTTCTTAAAAAATTATTTATTCTTGCCTAGAGGCTGTCAAACTCCAAGTGGTCATACGAATGGAACCAATGACAAATGTGCTAGACTTCTTTTACCAGTATCCACCAGATCGACCTTGTAAACAGCTCATACCTGCTAAACTATACAATGGCTTCTGTGTTGGATTCTGAGGTCCCCTGGACCTTCTCCTTATCTTCTTGTGGGCTATATTCATAGCAATCCTACTGACCTTATAATTTGGCCCATGCATTCTCTACTGTTTCTTTGGCTTTGTCTCCTCCAGACTTAAAAGCTATGCAGCTACCAAGATGACAATGCCAGGCACCTACTGAAGGCCTTCAGATAGACCCTCTGTAGAGAAACTCCAACTGCTGATCACAACTACGACCCTCTTCAGCTGGATGTTGCCAGAGCTGTCTTCACCCTTTGCCCCCTCAGAGCAGTTGGGGGTAGTTCTTTAGAGGGGGAATATTGCAATAGGTAACTAATTAGATATCTTGTAGGCAGGTGGACAGGGCTGCCCTCAATGAGCCGACACAGAGGACAATTAAGACACATTCACTGAAGGCCAGCATTATAAAAGGAGAGAAACTGCTGTACCCTCATGCTTCCCCTGAGAATAAAGAGCAGTGATTGAGGGGCTGGGGATTTAGCTCAGTGGTTCTGCAGCCTGTCTTGCAAGTGCAAGGTCTCAAGTTTGATCCTTGACCCACCCTTACTGAAAATCCTGTAAGTTTGCTACAGGACTTGCTCCCCCATTTGACCCCCACTTAATCAAAATTACCTGGGTGACTGTACTTGTAATCTTATTGGTTGGTCATGGTTTTGCCCCACCTCAGGCCCACCTTATAATTTTCCAGTGGGTCATATAGTTTTGTCCCACTGTGGCGGTCCAGCCGTCACCACACGAACATGCCTGAGTCGGGGAGTGAGGATTGAGAAAGGAAAGAACACTCAAGCCTGAGCGGAGACGAAGAGAAGTCTGACTTATTTCACAGAAACAGCTCCTTTTATAGGTTCACATCAACAGGAAGCACCAAGCAACTATTTGTATCTCTTATGCAAAGACCGGATTGTCTGACTCTTTGCAAAGAACATCAGATCTTCGGCTGTCTCCTTGAGTTTCTCCCATTGCAGCAACAAGTTTAACAAGCAGAGTCCTAGAATGTTACAGATTGTATCAATGCCTTGAGTGTAGAGGTGAAGAAGTTTCCTTTTAAATGTCAAACTCCTAGAGGGCCACGGCCGGGCTCCCACATCCCACTTTGTACCTGCCTCACCACATGGCTTTGCTGCATAAAACAAGTATTAGCCTGAGCATGGTGGCACACCCTATAATCCCATTACTTGGGAAGCTGAGGCAGGAGGATTGCTGCAAGTTCAAGGCCAGTCCGGGCTACATAGTGTGTTCAAGGCCAACCTGAACTGCATAGAGAGACCCTGTCTCAAAGCTGTCCACCTCAAAAAAAATCCCAAATATCAGCAAGTTGTCCAAAAGGCTTGGTGGAAAACCAATGTCTCCGGAGGTGCCTCATCTCTTTCCTGGGGGGTGGAGAGTCCCCCGAGGACCCTTGCGTCTGGGAAACAAGGCTTCCCTCCAAAATGGGGAGCAGATGGGGCTTGCTGGGGAGACAGCAGGTCTGTGGGGCATCTAGAGCTTGGGAGGCCAGACAGGGCATTTGCACCTGGGCATCTCCAGTGGGCGGAGCCGGGAGCCCTGGGGGCAGGGGCTCCTGGAGCACTTGGGTCCCGGCAGAGGTCGGAAGAGAAGGAAGATGCCCCTGTTGTCCCAGCCTCCATGCAGAGGCCAGTGCATCCTGATACTCGCTTGGTGTGTCCCCAGCACTGCAGCGCACCCCGCCACCCAGCCATCCCAGGACACTGCCGAGCTCTCCCGCCGGGAAGGGTGCGGGGGCCAAGCCCATGTCTGCCTCACGTCTGCATCCCTGAGCCTCTGCACCCCCAGGCTCAGGAGGCCTGCCCTGTGCTGTGTGTCTGTGTGTCTGTCTCTTCCAGACACCTCTGAGGGCTCCCCGGACCTGGGGCCTTCCCCATTCTGGGCTTCCTCTTGTCAGCTTAGCGTCCTCTGGCCAGTGGCGTCCTGCTCTGACCCCAGCCTGACTGGCAGCCAGCAGGTTTAAAGGCCTTGGAACAGAGACCTTGGGCAGGCAGGGCACTGAAGGACTATTGGTGAGAGCCGGAGAGATGGCCAGGGGGTTTCGGCCTGGCCATGCACCCCGCCTCTCCCCTCCTCTGTGCCTTTCTGACCGGCAGGACACAAGTCCAGAGGAGCCGGTGGCTGGCTCTCCACCGGGTGAGGAGCAGTCAAGGGCAGCAGTGGCGGGGGTTCTGGCTGGGCTCCCAGCGGGCACAGGATGTGTGTAGGGGGCCGGAGACGGTGCCGCCCCCAGCAGGAAGGTGAGAGCAGAGCGGGTATAAAAGGTGGGCAGCCAGCCGAGAGCCCTCGGTGACCATGGTGCTGCCCCTGCTGGTTCTGGTGCTGAGCCTGGCCTCGGCCCAGAAGCTCCAACCCGAGGAGATTGTGGAGCAGGACTTCAACATGGCCAGGGTGGGCTCTCTGGCCCAGGACAGGGACGGCTGCACAGCAGCCAGAACTGGGAGAGGGGACCTGCGCACAGGGGCCCAGGAGGGACAGGGGGCTGGGAGGCTGGGACAGGAGAGGGGTACCTGAAGGGACGTAGAGGAGGGCGGAGAGGACCCTGGTCGGGAGCAGATGTGGGCACTGGCCCTAGGAGAGAGGCCCAGCATCGCAGCCGTCCCCCCAGGTCGCAGGGAAATGGCTTTCCATCTCCTTGGCCTCCGACAACGTGACGTGGATTGGAGTCAATGGGGACCTGCACCTCTTCGTCCGGACCATCGAGCTGCTGCGGAACGGCAGCCTCGTGTTTCACTTCCGCTTCATGTGAGCGCCGCCCCGCAGCGGAGCTGGGGCCATCCAGCCCGGACTCCCACGGCACACGGGCGCTGTCACAGGCACCCATGGTGGGGGGCGGGAAGGAGTTGGGGAGCCCTCTGGGAGCGAGGGGCAGCCTGACACTGTGTTCTCCTGGGGAGCATGGGCAGTGGTCCCCCTCATTAGACGTGGGGCAGGCTGAGCAGGGACACTTCCTGTGTGTCTCCTGGGCCGGCGCCTGCCCTGAACTCCTGGGTCGGCTTCCAGGATGCAGGGAGAATGTGTGTTCGTGACTATGGTCTGTGAAAAGACACAGGAGAACGAGTGCTCCATTGTCTGTAAGTGAGGCCGGGAGACAGGAATCTGCAAGGCCAGGCCCCCTTCTTGAGGGTTCACAGCTGGGCCTGGCTGGCCGGGGCACCAGGTGCTGTGCTGGGCGTGGGGAGGCAGCACACAGGGGCCGGGGGCCACAGCCCAAGGAGAGGGGCTGCAATGCCCAGCTGTGTACCATGGTGCAGGGCTCTCTCCTGAGCTGGCACAGCCTGCCCAGACTTCCCATTCCTCGAAGGGCCCTTGGCTGGAGCTGTCACACACAGACTACAGCACATGTCCCAGAGCCCTGGGGAGTGTGGGTCATGGTGGGGGCCACACGGAGTGCTCTTCCACACAGACCAGGGGGAGAACAAGGTGATGGTCCTAGAGACTGACTACTGGATCTATGTCATCTTCTACCTGCGGAACGTCCGGGACAGCGTGGAGACCCAAGTGCTGGCACTCTACGGTACCGACCCTGGCTGCCAGGGACACCAGACCCGGCTCGGATGGAGACGCTCTGCACAGCCCCGGGCCCGGGCAGGGCTTCCCGACACCCGCAGTCCTGGCGTGACGCTCTCTGGTCAGGGCGGAGCCCCCAGGCCTGTCCCATACGCGTCCCCAATCTGTTCTCAGGGCGCATCCCGGTGCTCAGCAAACCCTTCCTGGACAGATTTGAGAAGGCCTACAGGAAGTACGGGATGAGTCCAAGAGACACCATCAACCTGGCTGAGAAAGGTGGGCTGCTCCCTGTGCTCCCCGGGCCTGCAGAAGGGGCTGGGGCCGGGCCCCGCCAGCCCTCTGAGAGCCCTGTCTCCCCAGATCCCTGCCCTTACTAGGGGAAGAGGAGCCGGCCCAGCCTTAGGGTGCGTGAGCTCTGACGGGTGCCGGGTGGGCAGTGTGGGCGGCGGGGGTGCTGGACGGGGTGGCTTGGTGTCAGGGGCCGGGGTCTCAGCCCAGAAGGGCCACAAGTGCAGTTCTCCAAGCCCATCCCTCACCTGGAACACAATGCGTGTGGCAGCTGGCGATCCCCTGAGCACCCCAGGTCGGGTTTCCTGAGGCGGGGTGGGGTGGGGGTCGGGCCGTCGGAGGGCACTGTACAGTGAGTATTTACTCCCACAGCTCTGCACCTGCAGGTCTGGGAGCCATGTGTGGCGAGGCTGCTCCCCCAGGGCTCTGGGGACCCTTCTGCCCCATCCGGCCACCAGTGGCTCCAGGTGTCCCTTGGTTTGGGGCTGGCTCACCCACCTCTGCCTCTGTCCTGTGCCTGTGTCACCTCTTCCACTTCCAGGAAAGGTGCCGTCTTAGATCTGGGGCCCAGGACGAGGTCCCTCACCCTGTACCCCGGCCAGCACCCTGACTCCAGCACTTCTGTAAGAGCCTTTGTCCAAATAAACCTCATCCTCAGGCCCGGTGTGAGGATGGGGCTTATCTTTTGGGGGACACCATTCAGCACCTCTAGGTCCCTTCTCAGGAAAGGGCCTCAGTCCCAAACGATCCCCCCAGAACCCCTCACGTTTGAAGTCCAGCCCCAGTCGTCTCATGGAAGCGGGGATCCCAAGGGCTCTGCTGTGCACAGTCCAGGGTGCTAGGGGCCCTGGAGCTGGGGTCCCGGGACAAGGATCGGGAGGCCTCACTCGCCCTCCCCAAACCCCAGCGGGGATGCAGCTGCCCAGCACGTCACTCTGTGGATGAAAAGCAACCATCCAAATCAGGGGACACAGCCCTCGGCCCCTGACAGGCGCATGCTACACAAACCTGGTCCCTCCACGCTGGGACCGCAGTTGGCACGGAAGGAACAGACAGATCCGGGCTCGAGGGGTCACGGGTGTGGAGAAGCCAGCCCCCGACTCCCCTTCGCAGATCTGCAGGGAAAGGAACAGGGTCAGGGAGGGAAGCAGACGCTCCGTGAGGGGCAGCGAGGGTCCTATGCCACGGGCCCCACCCACGCGGGAAGAGCCACAGCGCTAAACACACACTTGTGTGCACGCACACTCGCACACACCACACTCACCCGAGACGGGGGTCCCCTCCAGCTCCTGACGTCCTCCTGGGATCAGGGACCCGGGGTAAATGATCTGCCCTTGGGGCTGGGAGGGGAGGAGGTGCCCAGAAGGCTCTGCACTGGGGCCCCGGCTGGAGCTGGCTGTGGTCCCTGCGGGGTCCTCCCCAGTGTGCACTGCAGCAAAACCAGAGAACAGGGCCAGGGCTCAGGTGGGAGCATGGGACAGGGGCTGGGCAGCACCTGGTGCACCTGCTGGAGGCCCGGTCACCAGGACAGGACGTGCCGGACAGCTGGGCTGTGGCAGGGGGTGTACAGGTAGCTGCCCATGTATCTGGGACGTGCTGGTGCAGAAAACTGACCTTTGGGAAGAGACTGGTGGCTGTGGTGGGCGGGGAGCTGCCTGAGGGCACATGGGGTTCCCCTGCCTACCCTGGTCCTGCACTCAGTGTGGGCTGCTCCTGGCCTGCAGCTCCTGGCAGCCCCACCCCAGCAGCCTCCATGTGAACAAGGGAAGAAGGCGGGGGCAGGAAGCCGGCCCTACGGTCAAAGTGTCGGGGCCGGGCGAGTCTGGGCAGATGAGGAAGGGCACTGAGAGCAGGCTGTGCCCTTGGCATGGTGTACCCGGCCCTGGGTGTCCTCGCTCACCCAACCTCGGTGTGGGAGGAGTGCTGGGCCTGAGGGCATTTCCAGAAGCTTCTAGAGGATCCTTGGAGAGGCTTTTATCACCAGCCCTGTCCCTGTAGAACCCGGGGTGACAGAGGCTGGTGTCCCCTGCCCCATGGGAAGAGGGTGCCTTTGTTCCACGCCCCCGCTGCAGCTCCTTTTCCTTTCTCTGTGGTTTTTGTCCTGTCCTGAGCCCTGTCCCTCCTGCCCGCCCGGATGGCAGACACCCCTCCCCTTTCCCTTCAGCTGGTTGGTTTTGTCACGAATCCACTCGCACATGTCTGCCTGTGGCCCCATGAGAAGTGGGGACATCCCCACCCTAGGGGAGCCTGTGCTTTTCCTTCCCTACCCCAACTGTGGCAGGCAGCATCCCTCTGCATGGCCCCCAGTCAGGGCCCCACTGACCAGCTGTGTGACCTTGGCCCATGTCTCCGACTCTCTGTGCCTCAGTTTCCTCACCAACCAAGCATGGGTGCCAAGAGCCGCTTCACGGTCGGGCTCTACACCTCTTTCTTGGTGACGCTGCTAAGGCTTGGGGTGGGAAGAAGCACCTGGTGCTTCTGGTGGGTGCTGCCTGGGACTGGCAGGGTCACGAGAGTTAACAGTTCCATCACCTGGCAGACAAGGCGCACAGGCAGGGTCAGGGCGCCCTGCTGTCTCTGCTTTCTCAGCACAGGGTGGCCACTGCACACATAAACACTTCCGTTATGCACAGCACACATCGTACTCTGTGCCAGGACCCAGCACTGCGCCCAGTGGCTAGGGCGTCAAACACTCCATGCTGATGCTGAAGATGAACGTCTCAAGCCTGCAGCCCACGGTGTCAGAAAGCACCTGACGGGGCTGTGTGCACAGTGGCTGGTTGTGACCTTGGCTGTGGCCCTGGGGAGGGGACTCAGGCTTTGGAAGTGGGGAGGGCCAGGTGTCCAGCCACGGTGGGAAGGAGCCTGGTCAGCCACACAGGAGGGGACAGAGGCAGTGGTGCCTGGGCCGGAGCAGCTGCCACTGGGCACAAGCAGACCAGACACTTCCCGCAGAGCTGGAGAAATGTGGCCCTGTCTTCCCCCAAGGTCACCCCGGGGATGCGAGGTGCCAGTGCCCCTCACCCAGAGCTGCTGGGGGCTGAACTTTGAGCTGAAGAATCAGAGAATGGGGCTTGTGGGTGAGCGAGAGGGACCCGCCTGAGCAGGGCCCCCAGTGCCTCCGCAGCACCCTGTGGGTGCAGGGCAGGGGCAGTGCCGTGGGGTTCTGGCCCCCACAGCTCTGTCCATGCTCCCGAGCCCAGCCTGTACCCAGAGTTCAGCTGTACTGGAGACAGATGGCAGCAGCTGGACAGAGCCAGGTGTCACAGCTCCGAGGGGCCGAGGAACAGGTGGGCAGGGACACGGGGTGGTTTGGGAAGGAAAAGGGACTTGGGCCCCTCTGCCTGCCCTGGGCACACATGGCCCCCTGAGCTCCCTCCGCAGCACTGGGGACCCATGGTGTCTGGTGACTGGACAGCAGGTGGCCTGCCAGGATGTGAGGCTCAAAGGCCACTGCGCCATCCCCAAAGGGTGAGGGAGGGGATGGGGTCCTGAGGTCAAAGGTGAGGACCAGGGGACAGGAGCAGCCAGGGTGGGGGCTGGGAGGGACAGAAGGACGGACGGGTGTGGGGACATCGCACGGCAAGGCGCCTCAGTGTTGGGATCCCAACATCTCCAGGTGAAGGAGACAGGAGATGGTGAGGGTCCTCTGGGACTGAACCCTGACTGAGTAAACGCAACCCAGGGCCCTGGCCGGCCTGCACCTAAACTGCCCTTGTGCACCCGAAGTCCCTCTTCTAACAAGGACACGAGTTCCCAGGAAGGCTGCCCCACCCAAGCACAAACCTATCTTCACTGGCTGAGTCTTCACGGCCCTGCGTCCAAAGAAGGTCCCATCCTGAGGGAAGGGTCACAGGTAACACAGAATGACTGGATCTGTGGCCCAGTGGGGGCTGTGGCACAGGTGGCTCCTCGGGCTCCTGCCCAGTCATCAGGAACCCTGCCCGCCCCGCCCCACCACACACAAAGTCCAGGAGCCCTCTGACCACAGCCTGCATCTACTCTACTCAACTGTTCTCCAGCTGAAGCAGAGGGCACCCAGGCACCGCAGGCGACTCCAGTACCACATGGGCTTGGAGGCAGGTGGTCGCCATCCGTGTTGGCTTTGGACGTGAGCTCTGTGGAAACGCATAATTTTTGGTGCCAAGAGGGACAGAAAACAGACATGGGCTGGGTGATGCTTGGGAGGACTGAACACCCTGGAGTGGGGGGGCACCTGACAGTGTGAGGGTGCTGCCCTCTACTGACCACGGGCCCAGGGCTGGGACCTGTCAGGGCGAGCACTGGGAGGCAGGGCCAGGACTGGGCCAGAGGACAGTGCCACACCCAGGCTGCACCACGGACAGGGTGGACACCGTTCCCGCAACACCCCAGGTGGCGCCTCTGCCGCAGAACCAGGAGGACCTGCACCTCCAGAGCCTGTGTCAGACGGGTTGGGTCGGAGGGGCACTGCCACCCTGCAGGGCAAAGTGAGATGTGGGCTGGGACACTGGTCTCACCTCCACAGTGCAGCCCTCCCAGCAGACGGCCACAGGCTCAAGGGCAACACTGGGGCCCTGCCCTGACTCTGAAGGGAAAATGAGCCCAGGCCCAGAGTGAGGTAGCCTGGGTCTGGGGTCACACACTGACCATCCAAGGTGCCGGGGAGGCCAGCCAGTCTGGCAGCCAGTGGGGGCACCAGCTTTGGTTCTGCTGGACATGGCCCGGGCGCTGGTAGCGGGTGTGGGTGGAGCCCTGGACAGAGGCAGGGAATGAAGGAGGGGAACCCCCTTACACACACACACACACACACACACACACACACACACACAC